GGGACGGACAAAAAAAAGGTTGTCCAAGCCAGTTAATGATGGGAAGCAACATAAGTTTACTCTTTACCAAGGGTTGTGGGGTTTTTTTGTTTCAGCCTTACCTACTATTTTATAGTCAGTAATAGGAGTACAAGTTAAACAGAGAAGGAGTAGGAGTTAAACAGAAAATACTTACCACACTTAAACTGACTAAAGCGTTCGCCTTTGGCACAGGATGGCTATACAATGATTTCAACAAATCATTTGAGTCATTTTCCTATAGGGAATGTTTTTAAAAGGTAGTTAATTATTATATAAAAACTGACTAATTACCATTTACTACACATCAAACTATATATTGACAAAGATATATATGTATATTTAATGAGAAAGACAATTGCAATTCGCAGTGAAGTATTTAAATATTAAGTATAAAATTCAGGCCAACTTTGTATCTCAGAAAATGATTGTATCTGCAAATTAAGTCAATCTCTTACGTATTTCCCCATACACTCCTTAAATGAATCGCATTATTTGCAACTGAAAATAGTGTTAACATGTCTAGCTGGTCTGTGCATCTTGGACATCATCTTCCTAAAACGGTTAGCCATGATATTTGTCTATTCAAAGTTTTACTAAATATGCAGCCAAATAGCTATATTGTATGCTTTAAAAATGATTCATCAAAGCACATAAAAAAGTTAATAAGGTTTACTAAAAAGTACATGCAGCTACTGGGTTTAACTAGGATCCCCCACCTTGATCTCTAAGAGATACATTTAGTTGGGAAAGAGATGAGGACGGAGGTTTTGTTTGTTTAGGGTTTTCATTCAGTTTAGGGGTTTTATTCACGGAAATTAAATTCTTTTTGTTGTCAAAGTAAAACCAAAAATATCAGTGTCAAGCCAGGGCCAGCTTTTAAACATATTGTTTGAGTTTGCAGGAAGCTTCCACCTCTCCCTGCAAGAATGATGATGTTACTGGATCTCGTACTGGTAAACAAGATTTTGGGTCTAGCTCTTGGTCAGACAAACAGTGCCTGGGCCAGGAGGGAGCAATGTCCTCTAACAGCCTCCTCAGCAACAGATATGGCACTAGGCAATACAAAAAAAATACTTCCGTGCACTGCTAAAACTTTCTGACCCATCAAAACAGTTTTCTCAGCATATAGGACAACAAACTGATAACCCAGCAACTTAAATTGGTTGCAGTAATAGCTGCAATGCCAGAATCAGTCGTCAAGAAACAAAGGAGAAGACAATCCCTACCCCTTCTGTCAAATACAACCTTAATAACAATTTTTACTGTTACAGTGAAATCCGGCCCAAAACCAAAGTCTCATTGTACCATTCATAAGACTTAAATGTATTCCACACTTCATTTAAACACAGCTAACACCAAACTTTCCTACTGCATTTTCTTCTTACATAAAATATCATCATTCTCCATAGTCCATTTACTATAATGCACAATAATTGCTTATTCTATAGTTCATATATTCTTGAAATGTCAGCTTTTCCAGTCTACAGCATATGGCTGACTATTGATGCTTTTTTTTTTAATTACAATCTAGTACACTAATATAGTTAAAGCAGAAAGGTATAGCTTTAATGTTCTCAGTAAAGACAGATGCCAGCATTTCCTTTCCTGCGTAATCCTGGAATATGTCTAATTGCTCATGAATATGCAAACTAAACTACCATGATTCTTCACCAAATGCTGCAAGTAATTTTGTCTCGCTAGTTGAGATGACAGAATTACGAGAGGTAGTTTTTAGTTAATATGAAGGGTGAAACAGTACATCATATTTTATGCAGTTCTGAAAAAAAGTGTTTGTAACTGATAATCAGATAGTTCCAGAGATCTACAGTTTACAATCAATACATCATACAGATCTCCAGTGATGTGACACTTTACTCACACTTCACCCAGGACTTGTTTATGCTAAGATTGACACTTTATAAAGGTATGTTCTCAGCAGCTTTTTAAGATTAATGTGGGATTCAAGTGACAGTGGCAGCTGTATGTGCAGATCCTTTGAAATACAGTATGATGAATGCAAACGCTTCTAAATTCTACTAAAATTTTGAACTTTTAAACAGTATAGAATCACTTTACAGCACTTCAAATGGTGACTACTATTTCAAGGAAAATAATTTACACAAAGAAATAGAATATCTAAAATTACCTGTTCTTTAGCCAAATAATCTGCCAGGGTATTTAGGAGCTTGTAGTATACCTCAAACCATGGTAGGTAACTAAAACAGGAGGGGGAAAAGCATTTTAATAAAAGATCAGTGTGTTTTTTCCAGTGCTTATAAAATACTACTATGATTAATCTGACTTGCACATTTTTATATTGTTTCTACATATAAATAAAATGCATAAAAAACTTCTCCCCACAAATTTGATGGCACATCACTGATAGATAGTAGCAAAGCTACGTTTCTTTATGCTGGACACCTGCTTGAAGTGCCATTAAGCATAGATTAGCTCATAATACTTTCACTTCTCATTATTTTAAAGGCACCAAAAAAACCATTTTAAGCGTTGCCAAATCATATTCCCATTATCTTTAATTGTTGTGGCTTTCAGTAGTTATGTTATTTGCAATTTTGAAATTCTATGTCCTGTTGTACCTGGTGGACTGCCAGAACTGCTGCTTCCCTGGAAAATGAAAAACAGTTTTACCCGGGCAGACCAGGTACCCCGTATTTGACAAGCGGTACAATGCTATGTAGTAGTATAGATGTCACATCATATGTAAGAATACTGGTCCCCCTAATAAAGTCATTTCTATAGACAGAATTAACTTCTAAAAATGAGAGCATTCACCAATATTGTAAACACACAGCACATTAATACATGAATACTTAACAGACTTTTAACACGTCTGCAGCCCATATGCGTGCAATACTCTCAGTGAGTTAAACAGAATCCAAAATAAATAAGACATAACTGAAGAGAATGAGAAAAGAAACTCAAACACAGTGGCACCAGTTCCATTTTTTTGTCCTCTACAGAACAGTTACCTTTAACAGTGACATCATCAGTGACCGCATGCTACACAAGTTTCCATAATCACTATTTAAGGCTATGATACAGATGTAGTAAGTCTGGTAAACTAAATAGTACCAGTATAAATTACCCCTTATTTACCCATTACACACCTTCTCATGTCTGTTAGAATTTTATCACAAAGAACATTACTAAAATGGTAATAGTATGGTTAATATTTGTCATTTGAGATTAGAAGAGGGGCTGGGAAGGAAATAAAGCCTGAAATGCTTTTACTGTATTTCACACCCATATGTAACAATACTACACACTTCGTTACTCAGTGCAGTGTAAATCCACGGACAAACTTCCAATGCATTTCTTAAAAGCTTTAGTGTGTGCTGCGGACAGTTTATATTTCAGGAAACATGCTAACTGCAACTGAAAAAGCCTAGGATGCAGCACCTAAATGTCTTCCCTGATAGGAAAAGGAAAGCTGTTAGGGGAAACCCTGGCTGGTAGAGAAGCCAAGTCTACGTTTGTGCAGCGAGTCCGGTGAAATGTTATGTTTTCTTTGTAACACCTCTGCTCTCAGTACGCAGCCGGCAAGGCTTTAGGAACAGGCCCCAGTTCTAGGGCAAAGAAAGAGAACGGCAGAAATCTGAGCATAGTTACAGTTATGCATTTTCTAGCAATCTTACTTTGCTATCCTTATAAATGCTTAACTGCTGGTTCTTAAAAAAAAAAAAAAAACCACAAAAAAAATCATGAATTTACTCTTGCCAAGCCAGAGGGACACAGGGGCAATGATTTCTTTTAGAGCCACTGTATTAATGTCTTTATCACACTTTACCATACACTGTACTGGCTATTAATCCAAACTACCTCAACCTCTTAATGCTCACAGACATTTTTAATGCTTGGTATTGTTGACAGTAGTTAAGGTGTGACATTATTGCATTTGCTTTTCAATATATTCTTATATAATCATAAAATTGACTCCACTGCACCTGTGTAAGGCCACTCACTGCTTACAGGCACGAACGCTGCACGCCCCTGTAAAACACCCATCATGACAGCATCTAAAACATCTGATCTTTGAGTTTTCTTCCACCTAGGACTCCTGTTCTGTTATCTTCTGAAATCATGTTAACCTGGTTTTACGTGTCACTGAAACGCAGCGTAGATAGGCAAACAAAATTGTTCACCACAGCGTTCAGAGTACCTGCAAATGTCAGAGCTATTGAACAGTTTTACCAGCCTAGAATTACAGCAGGGACTGGAAGACTGTTCTAGCGTTTTGTCCAAGTCAAGGTACAAGGCAGGTATAAATCACAAAGTATTTTTATAACACTGGACACAGAAATGGGTTAGATTATCTAAAAGCTTTCCAGCCTTTTGCTATCACCTCTGCATTAGCAATGTACATCACTCCAGCATATTTTGCTGTAGAATACTCTAAAATCTTATCTGATCATTCATTCTTCATAATGAACATTTATGAACAGCATTCTATAAAAATAAATGCTACTTCAATAAAATATTAACCATATTTCTTTCTTGTAACTGTGATCTCAACTCCCTCTTACTGTGAAAAGAAAAATTAAATGCAATTTTTAAGTCTATGCATAAAAAGGTCAAATTCATTATTTGAAATTAATGAACCCTAGCAGAAAGCCAAGGGAGATTTTTCTTTCATACGGCAAGGCATGCTGACCAGAGTACTCGTACAAGAATTTCTTCCCTTAGCAAAATCAGGTTGATGATACACTTTCATGTCTTCATGTAACAAAACCGCAAAGAAAAACACTGTAAAAACAGATTACTTGAACATAGTTTAAAAACGCCAGTTTCCTTTCTGAGCTGAAAGACTGAAAAAAGAATTGCTTTAAGCCTTATAACCACAGGCACGAGGTTAATGCAATTTCAACATGCCTCTTAAACCTGAAAAATCAAGGAAATCAAACCAAGTACTCCATCACATTATACAGCATGAAACCAAAGGCCACCAAGACCTGTCCTCTGTTTCTTCTCCTCACAATCTTCAGTTCTTCAAAAGCACGGTTTAATTGCAAAAGTTTTTGTCAATATTTTTAATTATACTGTTCTTACCGCAACAAAATATTACAAAGATCTATTGGAAAGCAAAAAAGTTCCCTTTATGTTTTTCTTTTATGTATTTGCTAATTGCTATTAATTCAGTATAATAAAGAATTGTTACATTTGTTGTCTTTCTAAACAATAAAGAGTGCATTTGTGTGTGTGCATATACAATGCATCTCTGCATTCAAAAGTTAACATAAACAGAGGCTGTGTCTGTTCATAATAAAGACAGCTATCAGGTGGTATTTTAGATTCTCAATTCGAAGAGCAAGTATAAGCTCTCTTTATTTTGTAACATCCTCAAGGCTGTCAAGCAACATTTTTGTCCTCTTATATCACAGGCTGATTTTGCAAGCACGTGTTAATAATCCTATTAATTTATTTGGACTACTCTAGTAAATAGATTTATTCATAGATGAAGATTCCCATGATACAGGCTTTACATGTTTATCCAGTACATCATGTCGGATAAATCACTGTATACAGCACTTGTGTGCATGATAGCTAAAAACCAGAAGCATTACAGGTAAAAGAATCTCCTTAGCTTGTCCTGTTAGCAAATCTTGCACAATTATTTAATCTTTGCTTAGCACAGAAGAACTAGTCTTACGTACAGAAAAGTCATCCAGCACACAAATGTCCATCGACATCTGTTAAGTTGGGTAACAATTTTTTTCAAGTCAGTAAAGAAATGCACTGACTGCAAAAAATAGTTTTGAAATGGCTGAATTTAACAGAAGAGAACTCTAATATACTACTCCTAACTCAAGACTGTCACACTAATACGTACCTTAACAACAGATAAAATCAAAATTAAAGTCCATTACTAGAAAGACCTTACCATCATACTTGTATTCATAAAATTATTTATGAGCAGTGCATTTCATAATTAATTAGCTGTCTTACGAAAACGTCAAAACATTATCAATGAAGCCCCTTCACAGTAGATAAAACAGAGGAAAAACAGGGCTTTAATTTTCAATTTTAATCTATTTAGAAGCCTAAACTTCAAATAAAAATAATTTAGGTTCTTAAACTATGAAACCATTATTGGTTTCTTGTTTGTTTTTCTTTAATTGTACAGATTGTCTTTGCATTCCTCATGTTACAACCAGTAACTCTTCGAGAAACAAACGTACAAGACAAACATACAACAACCTCCAACAACATAAAACAGTTTCTCTAAAGTTGCCACAAAACATTTTTCCTATAATAAAGGAAAACATCAAACCATACGCAATATTGTTTTAATAGATATGTATTCCCTGGTTGAGAACACAGTGGTCTTTATTTAAAAGTACAGCCACTGCCTGTCACAAAAGCAAGAGCCCAAGATATTTCATGGTTAATTAAAAACGTACTTAGCATTTTCTTTTAATCCAAATGAGCCACAAGGCAGGAGCTCAGACTTTTATACAAAGTCACGCATAACCCTTGTTGCCGTAAGTAGACTTCCACCTCACTGGTGCTTCTACTATAGCTCTGATAAAACTTTTACATTCGTGAGTCAAAGGTTAAATAAAGGAGAGGAAATGTTTTCTGTCAAATAGTCAGGTAACCACTAACAGTCCTGAACTATCAGCAGGAATCTAACTTCTAGTAATCAAATAAAACTAAGGAAACTGCCTTTCCGTAGCTAAATGTCTAATGTCTAGGGGCTACTTTTCTGTCTGGAAAATTGACACAAAATGTGTAAAATTGAAACATTCTGCTTCTAAGGGATTTGCCTAAAGGAAGAGCGAGAAAGCTTCAAGCGTGGTCTGAACTGAAGAACTACAAAGGCTTACCACATAAACCTGTCTTCCTTATTAGAGCATTTCATTTGGAAATGTAGGTGACAATTTTACAGTCATAAAATTAATGAAATCTAAGACTGAGCATTTTAATGATGCATTTTGTGTTCCTCTGGATACATAAGGTCACCCTCAGAGTCTATCAACAGTTTCAAGATTTTTAACAAAACAAATTTCAGTCAAATTATTTGCACTTTGTACTAAAACCGTCCAGGCAATTCAAAAACAATTTCATGTAAAATTTCATAGTATTATTCCTACTGCAAACAGCAATGATATTTAGAAACAATACCCGGAAGAATTAAGTCTCCTTCTATTATTCAAAAGTGAACACTGAAGTTTCTACTGTGCCACTTCAAATCTCAACTGGCAAAATTATTATTTAAATTAAAATATAAAAAGTAAAACTAGAAGAAAAGATCCAGTATAGTATGAGAGGACAACAAGGTATATTACAATATTCCTACTGTGGTACCCCTCGTTCTTATGGGGCTGCATTAGCTCAACAGTTTGTGGAGAGGGAGGAGGCGACACAGCAGGATTCACACCGAGAGCTTCACAAAGCAGCCATGTTTGGTTTTTTTCTTTAAACTGCAAAACTTGAAAGGAATCACACAAAACTTCTGGAGAACAGTCCAAGATTTATTTTCTCATCTTACTATGGTTTTGCACTTACTTGCACTTTGAATTTGGCAACTGCAATCAAGCTCTGCACGATCGTTTTAGACAATACTGTATCACAATCAAGTTCTTTAAACAAAAATGCCTGAGATAGCTACCTTGGGGGATTTTTATTTCACTGTATAAACATACAGAGAACTTTAACAAAACATTCTGATTTGAGAGAAAATTCTGTTTACACAATTAATATACATGTGTACATAAAACATTAAAAAAACCCATAAAACTTATAGAAGAATTTTATATGTACAAGTATATTTTCTGTTTCAAACTATCCAGTTTAAAGCAGGACCATGTGGCTGCAAATTCAGAGATGATTTCCTTTAATTAGTGTTTCAGATGAAGAATTAATTATAGAGAGAAGTCCCATAAACTACAAGACTTTAATCTTAGAAGCAGCTTTAGGTTGTTGGTGTAAAACCTGAGGACAAGCAGCCTTTTCTTCAGTTTTCAGTTAAGAATCCCGTTCAGCAGTCCAAATCCTATCTCTTTAGCTGCCCTGGCATAGGTTAACACATGGCCTGGTACCTTCCACAAAAGACATTCACAAGAGAAAAGTTGTGTCCTGTTCCCACTCGTCAGCCTACCCAAATTTCTATCGTACTTCCTTCTCATCACTTTGACTGGCTTTTTCCTGCTGCTCTTTTCAGAGATTCTTACTTAGATTTTAGTTATTTATGACCACTTCATTTAGTTAATTTTTCTGTATTTGACTATCTCTAGTTGTCTTTGTCAAAGCCCCAGTCAGCAATCTTAATAGATTCCTCTTGTTTGAGGCAATATACATGTATGTGCATATGTAGATGTGTGGTTACACATGGTATTTATGTACACCTGCATTTGTGTGTCTGTATAAAAATCTATGACTACTGTGTACATATCTGTGACAGACAAGTAGTTTGAATTGCTTGTCCATCAGAGTCATTATGTGTATATACACACAGTCAATAGAAAATTATGCTATTTTGATATATGGAAAAGAGCGAGTGTGAACATGCATACACACTCTTTATATATAAACACAGCATTCTTTTGTTAAATTTCTTTGATTTTGGTTAATTTAAGATCAACAAGCATGTACAAGGGAAAGCCAGCTAAAATGCCAAAAGAGATCTTCTAGTGAGTCTTCTTTCACTCGGTCACTTCTAATGAATCTTGGATTCAGAGCAGAAACCCAGACTGGATACCAAAATGCATCGGATGGAAATACTGATGCATTCTTTCTGTCTGAGCTAAACACAACAAACACACAAATTGGAGAGAAACGGACTACCAAGCTAGAAGTACAACGCTATGAAGCTAGTGCTGTTACTCATTCAGCTATGCATTGTAAATTCAAAATTGTCACAGTAAAAGCAATAAAGGCAATGCTTTGATTATGGTTTGGTGAAAAATTGTAGCTTGCCACTTTTCATTTTCCTAGTTATTTCTACCAAGTAACAGACCGTTGACTAATCTTTAGCTGATGTGTGTCTGTGGGGAAATGTTAAAAGAAATAGCCAAGTTTACACCAGCTGAGAATTTGCGTCCTTTGCTTTGCAACACTACAAACAGTATTTAAGTGTGCGTACTTGAGCGTGCGTAACTGATTAAGCATTTGTTGTTATAGCATTAGAAGTCAGCCAGACAATGTCAGGAGTACAAGTAAAAAGTTTTGTTTCTAGCTTGATGAGGGAAGAAAAGGATAACTCAGAGAAAAGAGCTAAAAGCATACACACACATTCTCTCTCTGGGACTTAACAAGATATATCAACAAAAGGTATCACAGAGACACACACACATTCTCTCTCTGGGACCTAAGATATATCAACAAAAGGTATCACAGAGAAAAGGGTTAAGTATTATACACTCCAAAATCCTAAGAATTAAATCTTTCTGAAGTATTATTAAAGAAGTATTGCCAGGATCACAGAAAGTCAATTAATTTCCAGAATAAAATCTTTCCTTTTGCTATTTTCATTATATGGTAGTAGTAATTATTTTTTGCAATATTTATAGCAAACACTTATTTTTAAATTACTTGCCCAAAAACGTCCAGTGTACCGGCTCTCAACATTAGTTTGGAATCTGTTTAAAAGCTCACAAAAGTCTTGATGTGATATTTCCAATAATTTTAAGCACTACCATACAAGTTTCTAAATTGTCTGGTCTTTTTTTCCCCTCCGCATGTTCTTTTACTGATATTCTTTTACAAGTCGATGTTGGGTTTGTCTCCCTAACTCATGTGGTCTATCCTAATGACACCTTCCATGACTGCCCGACTTCCATGTTGTCCAAGTACCTGATATTCTGCTTTTCTCCATAAGTTTCCTAGCTTGCTCTCCAGAATTCTCCAAGTTGCCCCTCCGCTGCCTGAGGGTTTGGCTCTTTGGCAGCACATGGCTCCTCTTTCACCTTGTGTTTGGGGACTCTCACTTTGAAGGCAATTATACTTCAATCTTGTTCTTCTCACGTGCTGCCGAACTGGATGTTCCCATTTCCTCTATGGACATTACAGGCTGCTAGGCTCTTAATTGAAGTGGCAAATTTGCCTTTTAATTAAAGCACTCTGCCTTTTAATTAATTTAATTAAAAGGGTTTTAGAACAGCTAAACAATTGTTTTTTTCATTACAAAAACAATTATCTTACAGGAGAAGAAAGAAGAAGCGGAGAGAGAAACAAAGTATTTCACTGGGGTCAATTTCTCCACCATCAATATCTCTTCTGCAACAAAGCAGCATGCTCTTTATTGAGAATTATCTGGCTCTGGTGTTTCTTATATTAGATACAGTCTGGCCAAAGAACATGGAAGACACCCCCAAAAATCATGTTTCCAAGGACGGGAATACAGAAATGTGCACTTTATTGTTAAATTGACTGGATACTTGTCAAAGAGCTCATTAAAAAGTAAAAATATCCACATAACATTCAAAGCCTCTAAAGCTGCAGTGTATCGTTCTCTGCTTTTAAGCAGAGATTTCATGTTATTTAAATAGAATTAGTTAGCCTCACACAGGAATACCATCACATGGGGCTTGGGACCACTTCTCATGTGAAATCAACGGTAACACTGTTGTAGAGAAATGATACCCTGACAGAGGAGGATAACACATTATCAGAGGATTTGCAAAAGATAATTTTTTCTTGTATTTTTCTTATATTCAGTCCTTGACTCAATTTTTCTTATTCCGACTTACCTTAGAATACAGAGGCAGACCTTGCCTCCTGACGTCAAACGGCAAAATCCAAACCTTTGCTTACTTTCAATGTCGGTGAGCACGAAGGTAAAATGCTGTCCTACTTGGTTTTGGGACACCCTGAAAAATCAGATACAGAGCATAAAACCACCGAATCACATAAAAGATGAGCGTTGAAGTCATTGGCCTCAAGCATTTTCATGCTCAAGCCTCACTATCCTTCTCTCCCTTCCCACCCTCCAGGCTGCCTCCCGCACCCCGCTCCCTCCCCCCGGCACAGAAGAGCCCGGGTCCTTCCTTCAGCCGTGCCTCCGGCTGCCGCCCCGGCCCCCTGCTCCGGCTGACGTGCTCCACGGGATCTGGCCCCCAGCCTGAATGGACGGGGCGTTTCATAAGGTCTTTCCCTAAGTAAGGCCTAAGCAGAGCCAGTACAAGCCTGCCAAGGCTTGTTGGCTTCGAGCACACCTCAACAGTGGAAAATGGCAACCAAAACAAAGCTTTAAAATGCTACAAATAATTTATTAAATGTCATAATACAGGCCTGGCTTAAGACAGCCATCAGAAAACTAGCTTGCCTTTTTCGCCCCCCCCCTTCAGAATAGCTTCTAAGCCCGTAGCCTTCCCGCGCACCCACACACACCTTCCTCCCTTTTTTGCACTACACATTGCCCAACAAACAACTTTTTGCTAAGTTCATTTTCCAGTACAAACTTGTTCGGTTCTGGAAATGCAGAACCCAGAAAATAATCAAGAACAAACAGCACGACAGCTAAAATAATAAGTAATAATATCTTCAAAACTGTATCAAAACATGTACCCACTTGAGACAGAATACGTTTACACAAAATTTCCCTGCCTGATGTTCCAACTCCTCTCAGCCAGCGTTCCCTCAGCAGTGCAGGCTAATCCGTTTTGCTCTCGGTTTCTACCTCCTCTCCAGTGTCACCTCTGACTCATACTCATCTCCAGGTCCCAGTCCCAACCTCCATTCCTGCCCCCCCCACTCTCTGCTTGACAGTATGAACCTTTTCCCAATATCTTTTTAAGAAGAAATGGCATCTTCACTGCCATGACGTCTCTCTTATCTCCTTTGCGCTCTCAAGCCAGGCGCCTCTCTCTCTCATGCAATTTGTCAGCTTCAGACAAGAGTATCACTGGGAGCATGGGACAGACCCGCTTTTCAATGTGGCCAAACTTCAGAGATCTTCATAGAAATGGCAAAATATAATCAATGTAAGCATTTTAGAACACCAATAAACTGTATCTGAAGTTCACTCACAGAAACACATGTTGAACTTTTCCAAAATCTCCCAAAGAGAATCAGTTTTAGGTAGACTTGGCATTTTCAGCCAGGAGAGGTAATGCATGGCATAGAATGAATCATAGAATGGTTTGGGTTGGAAGGGACCTTTAAAGAGTTAATTAAAACCAAATGAAAACATAGTTATGATGGGGAGTGCATGGAGGTTTGAAAATGTAAAATGTAGCAGTTCTGCCTGTAATTCTATTGTCCTCTGTTCTTTTCCCATTCTCACGTGATCTTCTACAGCGGAATACCTAAGCACCTGCTAGTAAGTGCCATGATTAACATGTGTCATGTGTGGTTCATTCTTAGATGCCCAGCTGAAAATGAATTCCCGCAGAAGCTGAGAACCATCAAACATCTCGCAATCTTCCAGTCTAAGAGCACAAAATATTTTTTTAATTTATCCCCTGCAATATGGGTTGGGGTTTTTTGTTGTGGTTTTTTCTTAAATCTCCACCAAAATAAAATATAAAAATTTTCCCCTAGGAAAGAAGAAAGTAGAAGATGATCAAAGGACGAGAGAAGTTACATGGGACACACGCACATTACACTGCTTAACACATGCATGACAAAACCGTACAGATTATTTAAGTGAGAACCACTACCCAGACTGTAGACTCTCCCACTCATTTCAGTTTGGTCTAGTCCCTCGTGACCATCCAGTGACTAGGCTGAAACAAAAGCCTGTGCTGAGCATATATGACATTACAAGATACCTCTAGTCCAATATAATCACTGGAAACCCATGATAATTAGCGGACATTTTTTAGTTAGGTAACTAAACTCAAATCATTAAGACAAGCATTTTCCTCCCTTGTCTTCGATAGACTGGAACAACCTAGTGTGCTCCTCAAACACAGTAAACGCTCAGCGGCTCACTCAGTCCATTTTTCAGGTTCTGCGTAGCTAGCATGCTGCCTGCATCTTATGCCTGATACAACAGAGAGCTGTCAATAACAATACGTTATTACTCCCCTGCCAATGATGCAATTTTCTGTTTCACATCTTTGCATTTTCCTCTTCATTCCTGAGAGCAGATCGCCACTGAAACCTGCAGTATGGTTTCAGTACCCCTGTGCACGCTGCGGCCAGAGGCTTACACAGCAATTCAGCAGTAGCTGGTCAGTCGGAAGCACTAGTAACGCACCATGCACAGCGACCTCGGCTGCCACCTCCTCCCACCCGCTCTCTGCTCTGCTGTGTCTCACCATCAGACTCGGAGCTTTCTGCAGCCGCAACTGGCTTTTTCTTACACTGCGAAACACCTGGCACGGTTAGGCAGGGGTCTCTGTGCACCATCTTAACCCAAAGCGATCATTAATAATTCACAAAAAGCAACTGTTAATAGATGCCCGTCTATGCAGGCGTTGCTTTTGATGAACTGTGTACATGTATGTCAGGCAAATGACTATTCCATTACTGCTTGAAAACAATTCCTTAGCCCAAAAAACTCACATCAGTAAGGATCTCTTGCTTCCAGTTATTTGCCTCCTCCCTTCCCAAAACCTGAAGACGACATGTGAAAATAACCAGTATTGCAATTAAAATAAAAATGTCACTACACAAGACCACTTTAAAAATGAGATTTAAATTCTGATATTCTCTATTAAAAATAGCCCAGCCAAGTTACGACAGTTCGGCGGGAGGCAATTCGAGTGCCATCTCACCACCTCCAACTCAACGTCTTCCCTTTGCTTCTTTAAGAGAGAGAACTTCATGTTTCAACAGTCAGTGTAACAGTGGCCCAGCTTGAAAACTGCTTCCCACAGAGTTTAGAAGGAGATGTAAGCACCACGTTACAGATTTTCGAACTGAGAAAAACTCCAAGGCTAAAACTGAATCTCCACAAAGACCCAGAAGTTTGCATTTGGTCCCATTTGCTTCAAAGGAACAGCTAACAGAAGCCAGTGACCATCCATCTGGACCACATTTTCTGATCAGAGTTTAAAATACTGAATTAATTCTGGGTTTCTAATTTGAAAACTCCACTTAAGATCTGGGGGGCAGCAAGGATGCCTGGTTTTCTACTCCTCTTCAGCAGAATTAAAACTGACTATATGTAAGCCTTACAGAAACAAACAAACGATGATGGGGGATTTCTGTATATCGATAGGTAACCACAGTGTATAAACCAGACACATAAAACACTCAAAAAGTGCTAGCACTACAGTTTTAACATACATACCGCATGCACCATCACGTGGACAAATGTTGGCTATGTGACTTGGGGCTCATGCCTCTCTGTTTCACTGCGGCACACTCAGGTTGTTCAGAAGTCAAGTCTCACCTTCAGAGGCAGGTAGCAGCTCCTGGCACTGCTACTGAACCACAGCAGTGATGCTTCTCAAGTTTTCCTCAACGTGAAAATCAACGCAATTATTACGTACCAGAATTCCCTACACAAAATGTTATCTAGACTATCTACCGGAGCGCAGGATCAACTGGCTGAGCTTCAAAAACTTTCTGCAAAACGCTGATCTGGTCGGCTATTTGAAGAGAGCGTGATCTACCCACTTGTGCGGGGAGAGCAGGCACAAATCGTTCCCAATCATCGCTGACGTTGTCCTCACTCATTCCTCTGCCTTGCTTTCAACTTACTTTCAACTCCTGCCCTGCATGCTTACATTTAATCTTAGTTTAACAATAATAAATCACTACTAGCAAAGAATGTGTGTAAATACTTATTAACCCTCTGCAGACTACAATGGGCCCTTTCAAGGTTATTACAGTTCACTATAGGAAAAAAGTAGTTTTTAAAATTTTCTAAGTACATATCTACACAATGCAGAAAAGGCTCTTTGGTACCCAAGGAGTAGGTAAAGAGTCATTTTAAAGATTTTTGTTTATACTACAGCTATTCTTCAGGCCTCATTTTAAGGGCACCTTGAGAGAGCTGATTAAGGCAGGGATTAAATGTCTTCTTTGAACGAAAAACAGCATGTCTAATCACTAAATTTATCCCTCGTTCTCCAAAAGAATTGCTCTTCTTCAAAATTAATCTGTTTAGGACACAGATGATGTTTGAAATTATTTTCTCTTCAAATTTTAGGAATTTTTAAAGGGTTTTGAATTTCAGACAGTTCATTTTTTCAGTGAGTTTCAAAAAATGAAACTACTTCATGCATGGGAATACAGATTTTTATGACTTATTTTTAAAAGAAAACAAGGTTACTGGTATCGTTAATTATAAGGTGTCACGTACACATGCTTGACGAATGTAACTAAAGTATCCAGTTCTGATTAAAGCTTTGGCAGCTGCTACCTAAACCTGAAAATTTCAAATGTATTTCATCTCCCAATCTGATGCTGAAAAGCAAACCCCACCAGTCATTCACCCTAATTCTCCCCAGATCGGAGAACAGATTAGAAACCATTTCAAGCAGGAATTTGAAAAACAGTTGTTAAGGTAGTGGTACAAGCTGATGGAGAGACTGGGTAACCCTAGGTTGGGCTGTCTCCTTCAACTAATTGCTATCCCCAAATCTGAGCTTCAGGGACTATCCTCTTCACTTCCAAGCCCACTCCGTGATCCATGACTGCACAGCTCAGGCTCCCTGTGTGGAGGGTTCCTCTGCTCCAACTGAGCTATCCGCCTTGAGCTCTGCTTCCCAGAAACCCCAACCCCTTACACATCAGAAAGAAAAAGAACAGGAAGAAAACCGCAGAAGGTATGAAAATGTACAGAGCTACCACCAAATAAGGAAATCGCCACAAATAAAAAGCATAGTTAGCTTGTAATTGGGGTTATGTTTTCAAAACAACAGAAGCATTAAAAGAAACCACAACTAGTTAGTAAAGAGTCTCACTGGGTGTATTTAAGTCGCAACACAAGCCTGCTCAACAGAAGCCTGCTCTGTCCGGGGGCCCTGGCCACCGTACCTCGCCCCGGGTCTATTGGAGCACACCGCAGCTCCCTCGGTGTGCCCAGGTTTCCTCTCAGACGGGTCCACTTCTGCACACACATGGAAACCAACATCTGAAACCAACAGTTACGCTCTTCCATGGTGCACAGTTCGTGCTGCAACCTGTCCTTACAAACACTTCTCTCTTGCACATACATTTGATATTACATATGCACATACCATAATACAATGAAATAAAGGATGGAAAGAACTAAATTGTATAAAACTACTGCTGCATTTTTGAGTTCACACCTCATCTTGCAAACTGACTGGAATGACTGAAGTGTACAGGAAATGCTGTAGTTTATTTATCTTCACCTGTACAGCTTGAAATACTTCTCAATTTTTTACTTTTCATTCTCAACTATTTATTTTGAAGGCAAAAATTTATGTAAGTTATAATTGCCTTTCACAAGATCTGCAAATCCAGCCATTGTTTTGCACTTGTCTTGATCATAGCTGTGTTTCTGCACACAGACTTTTACCAAAAATACCAACAGAAACAGCATTAGCCAGGAACAAGAGAGTGAAAGTGATGTCACTCCTGCCATCATTACTCACTGACCCTAAGAGATTATGAGTTAAATAATATGCACAGTAATTCCCATACTTCAGCAATATTCTACTGCTAATGAGAAATCTTCTACAGCATCAGCAGTAGAGCCACTTCTTACACTCCAAAACACCACACTTCCCTGCGATTGGGTGAGCGCAGTAGGGGAAATTAATGAGGTACATATCACTGTCTCCATGCTGACCCTAATAGGCAGTTTTGAAAGTGTCTTAGCTAAAAAGCCATGCATGCTGCACATTCAGCAGAAGAAATGCATCCTGAAAGGGAAAAGACAGAGGAATGGAAGGAGAGAGGGGAAGTATTTATGGCGGAGACAAATGAGAGAGATTCAAAGCACAGATAAAATTGAGGGGTCAAGCAGTGACATAGCGCAACTGGACTGAATTTGAAATGGGGCCAAAACGAACAAGAGGAGAAGTTGCATGCTCACTAGTCATCATCCAGCTAAGTAACTGATGGATGTAGAGATCGAGGTGTGGGCTCTCTGCAAAGTTATACCTGAGTTTTGGGTTGAGAGTGAAAATACGGAAGACTGCTGGAGAAAGCAAAGTGTAGAAAACCATGCAAAATTTGCATAAAGTATTCAAGGCACTAAAGAGAGGACAAGGTGCTTTTTCTGATGTGTTAGTATTAGTTTAGCAAACATTAAAAGGGAATTAAAATCTCTTCATTTCTCAAATGTTAAATCCTCCTATTCCATATGAAAAGAAACAAAGAAAGGAATTCTGCAGCACAGAAAAGGGAACTTATAAATATCTACAAGCAAACTGTTAGAACTGTGCCATTTATTAAGCCTAAAATCATTTATTCACAAAAAAAGACATAGGTTCTTGGAGCAAATGCTCATGAACTTCTATGACGCAATTCATTTCTCAACCCCTTCAAAATAAAATGTAAGCCATAACCAGCAGTAACGAAATTATGTACTTGCTTTCAATAAAAAATTATATATAAAACTCAGAGTTTAAGTCATGGTCAAAACATTACACCATTGTGCCTTTTTTGGCTTGACTTTAGTTTAAATTTAATGGGAGTTACCCATAGATTTTTAATCACCATTCACAGTATGTACTTTTGATAATTAGAATGAGTAGTGTACAGCTATTTGTAACATCTGCATAAAAGATAAAGTAAGTATGTCTGGTGAGATGATGTAAGAGACATCAAACAGCAAGAACCAAATCTCGATCTCTGTCTACGATCACTGTAGCATAGTGAAAAATCAAATACGTGTTCTCATTTCATTCACTTTTCAATTCATTCACTAATTAATACAGGTGAGGTGGAGGAAAACGGGTGACAACGATCTTACCACTGTGCTTTAACAGTGCTTTAACTTTCCTATTTCCATAATTTTAAGAATACAGATTTCCTACTTTAGTGAGTTTTATTTAGCTAGTTAACAGAAGAGACACTCCATTCCCTCCAACTCTACTGTACAGCAGGAACCCAGAAGCAATCTATGGAACAGAGTCACTTTTTTTTTATCCTAGGTATCTTGATCAGCAGCATCAGTGGAAGTTATCACTTTTGCACTGGTAATTTCTAGCTCTCACTAAGATAAGATATTGCTTGAAGTGGTTTATATATGTATAGTACTCATAACACAAGTTGAGCAACTGGGCTCTCTAAAGTACCGTATGCTCAATCAATGAAAAAGAAACTTTGTGTTTCACTTTGATCAAAGCTTTCTGTACAGAAATTGTCATTGAAGCTGCCTGTAAAATACTTGGGGATATTAGGCGTATGGTCTATCATCATCCTTTATACAAGAAAAAAAAAAAAATCATTTTTTATATATATTTTTATATATATATTCACCAGACAAGTGAAAAGCACATTTATGGCTAGACAAAAACTAAAACGCGTGTCACAAATGTCCATTGGAAAAAGCTATATAAAAAGGAGGTACAGCAGTGTTTTTCTCAATACTGTTTTCTATCAGTCTAAATTTCAAAACAAAAAATAAAACTGAGAAAGCAGAAGACAACTGAACAGTTTTCTTTAAAAAAAGTGGTAATATGTCTACACTACAGAAAATGCCTGAACTGAGTAGTAACTGGTACAGACACCACACAGCCAGTAAGTTGTTCACACGAATAGCTTGCCAGTAAACAGTCGCCTGCTTTCTTGAACGAGCTTCCAGTATTTCTGTCCTTTCCCCCACAATAGCTCTGCCCCTCCTCCCTGTCCGTGCTCTTTTATACTCTCACGATGTCTCGCTGCCTTTCGTTCTCCCACAAATCCCCTAAAACTCAGCTCCCAGCTACACAAGAAGCTGCGAGTGCGGTGGGCGATTTTAAAGATTCCACGGTACTGCCCGAGCAGTCAGCAGGCCAGACTGAACACGTCAGTTTTGTTCCCCGCGTCAGTCTATCTCAGCTTCCAAGAACCTCTGGTTCCTCTGTCCAACTGCCAATTTTTAGGAAATTTGTAGAAATTTTGCACCTTTGAGAGCACTGCTTTACAGTCGAGTACGAGGCCAAGAGTCAAAAAGCATGTCTGGGAGGGGGGCACGGGAGGGTATTAACAGACAAACAACAAACATCCCATAACTTTTTCTTTTCTTTTTTTCCTTGGGGTTTTTTTTTTCCCCCTTCAGATACTCAGCTAAAATACATACCTAGCTATGCTATAAATTCATGTATTCCCACAGTTTATTGATTAAGCTTATCCATCTCATACAAGCAACTAAGCATCTTCTGAACAGTTCAACAGAAATAGTTAACCCAAGACGAGTTATTTGAAAATAATTATTTGCTGCCACTGATTATCTTCTTGCCACTGGATGGCAGCAACAGAACCTCACCTTTTTCTGTTACCCTCAAATTTTATTTCTATTATTCATCTGCATTACCAATTTTAAACAGAATTCTGTACATACCTTAAGCACACTGAAGACTTTAATGCTTTAAAGCCAACACTGACAACTGTATCAGTTAAGTCATTAAAACACCTTAAAGGACAGTGAGCTTAACCAGCTCAAAACCCAAACAACTTAATTAAATTCAACTATAAAAGACTAAATGAACCTAGTTTACTTCAGGGAAGTTGTGTTTATGAAGATCTTTATTTTGCCAGTGTGTTTTTCTGCAAAGCCTCTCTTCTTTCCTCTATACGCCCATCATCTTTTACTCCACAGATGATAGCTTCTTGCATCCGATAGATGCTTCTCATCTTTGAGATGTAGATGCATCTCATCTACAACTGATGCCAATGTTGTTCTGAAACCGGCTCAGCCTGCACACTACCTGGCTGTATCTTTCATTAATTATGCAAATCAAGCTTCTAATTCAATCTTTGCTGATTTGGACAATATGAGTTTTCCAAACTGAGTGAGTACAATTGATTAAATTAATTACCGTTAATCATTTTGACAAGCCTAAATAAATATTTTAATTAATAAAAATGTTTTATATGAACAATTTAAATGACTGGCAGCATTACATGGAAGCCACACTATAACTGACAGCAGAAAGGTAAGGGCTAATTAATTATAAATAATGGTCCTGATTCTTCTCTGAGAAAAATCAATTGCATATTCAGTTACTTCCATGCAATTAAAGTCTTAATTTCCTTGAACTCAAACAACATGTTTTCAGTACTGCTCAGTGAGTTTTTATATCCTGGTGCACCGTAACATTTTTTATGATGCTTGCTGTTTGAAGGAAACTATGTTATATCCTTATATTAACACAGATGGTGCTTACAATTATAATGGACAAAACGGGGACCTGGAACATAGCTCTACCTTGAAAGAGATATCCCTAAAATTCTGTAAAAGTTGCATTTTGCTGTGGTAACTTCCTACTAGTGATTTCATACTTAGTTGAGAACACAAAGGATGTGTTCTTCTCATCTGCAGGTGCAAGTTTAGGGAGTACAATATGTTTTCCTTTTCTTTAAATCTTGCCTTGCAATTATGCTAAATATCATTTTCTATGAAATATTTTAAAATAAACGATAACTGTAACACATACCTTTCAATGTCAAAAGGAAAGCAGAACTTTGGAACACTGTTCAGCACTTCCTGTAAATACAAGTAAAAGAAATAAAGTTAGGATGTTTAAAAGACTTTTATCTGTATTTGCTAGCAACTGCTCTACAGCTTGCTTTTAAAAGAATACAAAAAAATACTCATAACAAATAAGAAATTCAACGAATATATGATTGCAAAAAATACAGCACACGTTCCTGGACTGAAATAATTGATTATTAAAAAGGAATTAAGTTTGTGCTTTGGCAGATTGCAAAGACAATGCCATAGAAGCCCCAGGAGGGAAAGGCCTGGCCTGAAGGGTATTAACACCCTTCACATCCCCGCTGGGATTCCCTTCAACAAGGCCATATGGATTTTACAAGAAGCACCACACCATATGGGTAAGCCACGTCTGCTGCTACTTGTACCACAGACTAGCCACAGGGACTTCTGACAGATCCTGGCTCAAAAATACAAATGTTGTTTCAATTAAAATGCAGGCAGAGAAAAGGGAATGAAGTTGGCAGCAGAATGAATTACAGAGAGGTATAACAACTCTATACATGTTCCATAGTCAAATGCTGAAAATGATGGAAATCGTCTGCTGGTCCAAAGGAGAACTTTATGATTAACCCTTTGGGTTTCACAAGCAAGCCTTGCTATTAATCAAGGGAAGGGGAGGGGGGAAATCCACCAGATCTACATTCATACCATAATATGAAAGGATAATGTCACTCTTTCTTGCAGAATTTTATTTAAGAAGCTGTTTAGTGGCAAATAAAATGTGTTAATTAAAATATAAAAAAGCTCTCAAACTAGTCAACATTTTTCTTTTAAAAAAAAAAAAAAAAAAGTAGTGAGTTACCAGATCAGTTAGCAGCAAATATTAAACAATGCCCTTACAAGATCCCAGAAAAACAGGCTTTATTTCCTTGCTCCCAACTGGGAAAACAAACCCTCTGTGAAATGCTTCAGCTAAGAAGAGACAGTTGACGTCAACGCAGTTGATCAGCAAAGCTACAGAATTCCCTTTCTGTAGCAGACCAAGAGAGACTGATACACTGCTGTATACACGAGTTATCCCACAAGGTGTGTGTTTTCAGAAAAATGCATATTGATTGCAAATTTCCAGAGCTGCACATGGGGGTTTAAGAACTTGATCTAAGCTGTTAGCGCTCTCCAGCCTGAACTTTCTGTTTACTGCATGTTGAACAGTCTACTCCCATTAGGGGTAATTATGTATTTAAATTCCTACACACCACAATGACTATTTACTTCAAACATTTGCCTGGCTCAGTGGATAGTGTAAAACATGAAGAACCCATGCGAGTTAATCAGCAAGGGACAAATAGTTCAGGAAAAAGATGCCTCTGAATACAACATGCATATGTTAGTTGCAACATTTTAAAGGTATATGATGTGCCCCAGTAAATCATAAGAGTACAAAATGGAAAAGTCAATTTTTCTAGAATTTCTAAGACATACAAGAGAGTTCAAGAAATCTTTGGAACTTTTACTTTGTCCACACAGATAGAGGAGGATATGAAAGCCACATATTGTGTTTTGAGAAAGGTTATTAACTTAATTATGAACAATAGCAGTACATATAATTCTCCAAAAGAAACTGCTCAAGCACCGTCCTGACTGCTGCAAGTGGCCACCATGGAAACGTGAGGAGCAAAATACAAACGGAGCAGGTAAACTTTTTAATTTCTGTAGGCAGGAAACAAGCATGCTGGTAGTAGTAATAATAAATTCTAACAAAAGAAAGCAAGCAGAACAGGCTAATCAAAACTTTTAACTCAGAAATTTCCTAAACATTTCCAAATAGTCTCTTACTTCAGGCTCATAAAGCTAGTTTTTCCCATTCCAAAGAAATAATATTTTATACTCTATTTAAATTCTCTTTCCAAATCTGCACTTATCCTCACACTATAGGAAGTCATTTTCTCCTTACTACCGAGGATTTTAATTGCTGCCCGGTGAGCTAAGCACTGACTCGGAATTGGGTATGGAAATGTATTCATTTATGTTCCCCACTGTATTCTCTCAGAATAAATTATCAGGCAAGCAAAAGAAAACAAAAACAGAAAAACCAAAGGTATTAGCTCAATATTTTGACTAAACCACCTGAAAATTATGGGTATGTTTTGCAGCATGTTCCAGGCTGAGCTGCAGGACAGCGTTTCCCCCAGCTCCGCTCCGTCCCTCCCCCAGCAGCACACGTGCACACAACTTCTGCAGAGCAGCCTCAGCTCGCTTCCCAACTGGCAGGAGCATCCCTCAGGGGACAAGTCTTTAAACCTCCGCACTCTTTAAAATTCAACCAGCCAGCAGGTCTATAGACTGGTGTATAAACAGTACAGACAAAAAAAACCCCACCTCTTCTCTCAGCTTATGTCAGTGACAAAGCAGCTCAGCAGTTGACTGCTTCTCCCCTGACAGCGTAAGCCAGGTTTACACAGATCAATAGACGGGAGCCCTACCTAGCTTCCAGGGCTCAGTTTTCTCCCTTAATTACAGGTGCTATTCAGATTTTTAAAATGGAAGAAAACAAGATGCCCCCAAGATGCTCCTAGACAAATTTAAAATGCAAATGACATTATATACACATTCGCATACACAGTCACTATTCGTGTACAATTACAGTTGATACTTTCAGTAACCTCCCTACTGAATAAAATTTGAGCTCTGTCTCCTAACGGGTCATCATTTTCAAGGATCCATACCTCAGCCAGGACTTCCTCTTGAGCCCACATACATACTCTCAGAAAAAGAGTAACGTATTTATTGTCTTTCACTTTCATAGCTTCATCAAAGTATGTGTTTATTTCTGAGACAAAAGGTTGTACAAGTCTTCAGAAAGCAAAATATCTTCTATTCACGTGTCCCATGATTATTTCCTCCTCTGGTTCTCACGGTATTAGTGCTTTCAGAAGTGGTCACTGTGTCATAAAGGAAAGAAATTGCATACAGGAGGAAAAGGATAATGATGTTGCAAAAAAAACAAGTAAAAGATTATCTATTTGCTTTCAAACACTGAATAAACATCTACAGTTGCATACGCAATTCAGTTTAACTGCTAAGTTAAAAGATAACTATCTCATTCCTTATCAAGCTCCAAGAGAAAGAAGAAAATCATAAATTTAATATCATGTGAACTACAGCATGCTGCAGCAAAATATCTTTGATTCACGTGTCCCATGATTATTTCCTCCTCTGGTTCTCACGGTATTAGTGCTTTCAGAAGTGGTCACTGTGTCATAAAGGAAAGAAATTGCATACAGGAGGAAAAGGATAATGATGTTGCAAAAAAAACAAGTAAAAGATTATCTATTTGCTTTCAAACACTGAATAAACATCTACAGTTGCATACGCAATTCAGTTTAACTGCTAAGTTAAAAGATAACTATCTCATTCCTTATCAAGCTCCAAGAGAAAGAAGAAAATCATAAATTTAATATCATGTGAACTACAGCATGCTGCTTCCCTAGGAAAAAGCTTAAACAAAAATGGAAGTGCTATTTAAGAAAATACTTCTTTGTGCCTATAGCACAGCAGCAGAAACTTGCACTCTCACAGGCTCATGGTCCAGTGGTTTTATTAATTCCCTTTCACCAACTGCACTACACAACTCCAGCCTGGCCTGGTCATGCTCACTGGCTCTACACTGAGATGATATTAGAGAAGCCTAAAAAGTAAGAATTATTTAGCGTTCCTTGCTTATTTTGATACCCATACAGCTAATTTTGTGTATCACCATTTTATAAAGCAATGTAAAAGGTGGTAGAAGATGCTTCTGAACTCATACGCGCCAGTTTTCTGGAGAAAAGCTCCCGATAACTCACAATCTTGCCCTTAAGTGAAATCAGTGGTTAGTCATTTTGGTTAGATTCAAGATACACACCATATTCCTTACTAACTAGAAAAGACAGGATTTTTTTTTTTTTTTTTTTTTTTAAATTATCACAGCCAACTGAAACAACGGTATAAAACCTTCATGGCTGTTCAAGCGTACATTGTAGAGCACAGTGATTTTGGAGGATACTCATTTCTTTTTCCACTTGAACAAGACACAATGAGATCTCACTACAGCTGGAAGAAGGTACAGGAGCTGCTTCTACGGGAAAATTGCACCAGATTTTATATATATTACAGAATCAGCTTATTAAATGTATCTCTACACAGGTATGAGTGGGTTTTTTCAGTTTAACTTACGCATTTCAACTGGTTTCCTTTTTCTGTGTAGATGAGGCCTGATGACTTGATGAATTGACAGAAATTAAAGTTCACTTCTTAATATTATACTACTGAAATAATGAAGTATTGAAGCTTAATCTGATTAATTTCTGAGGTTAGAAGGATGTGGGAACTATTCACCCCAGCATTTTTTCTCTTATTGTAACATATTCCACAGTTTGCATTTAAGCAGGGAGGGGAAAGAACCTGATTTCTTCCAAGTGCATCCCTGTGAAAGGATTGAAAATCTTCCCTGACAGGAATATTTTAAGGTATCCAGAATGCTGAACCACTCCATAAATAGCAGTTTAGACACTGTTTTTTAAGAGAGAGTCCTGTTACCTTCCAACTATTTCTGTGTTTATCTGCAGCATAAGACTGCTCCTCAAGCAAGCAGGTGGGTTCTCCCCAGGTCCAATTCCACATATGGAAAGAGCATCTCTGGAGAAGAAAGGGAACAGCCTTACACTGAGACACAGTCACACCATGTCCATTCCAGAGACGCATCAGGATACCCAGGGAAGAAATGGCCTAAATAAGATAAATAGTAACCAAGATAATTTGAATTATTTAATTACATAACCCAGACCAGGTTACCAAAATCATTCATATAAACTAGTGCTGAAATAACTATCTATCTATCCTCATCTCTTTATTCTGTCTTGAGGCAGAAATCAGCCAAAGAAATATCAATTATAGGAGCACAAATAAATGGTCATCCACTTAGTTACAAAATGCTTTTGCACTTCCCCATTATTGTTACTTCTTCAACTGTTTTCTTTCTCAGTAACAGTATTTTTCTAGTTTTTGTC